ATAAAAAGTAACAAAGGAACAGTATTTTAATTATTTTTGTTATTTGTAATGGTATATCATATAAGTCTTTACTAGGATACTGGTCCGCACGCATGTGCAGACTTGGATTTTAAAAAAAAAAATGAATGTAGCTGGACCGATGTTAAGTACATTGAAAGTTAGTAACTTGGTTTCTGATGGATTCAAATTGGTATATAGATCGCGACGATTTTTAAAGTATTTAGTCAAAGACCAATTTTTTGTCATATATTAATATAACTTTTTATTTGTTACTACTGACAGATTTTGGGGGCAACAATAGTAGAATGGCAATAAAAATGTAAAGTAATTATAATTGTTCAAGCATGATTAATCTTACCAAAATTTTAGTCTACATGCTTATATACGCATGTACTACTGGTTGTACAAAAATATTATATTTACTTATCATATATAAGAATTGGGATATTGATGTTCTTGATTGGTATAATTTGCTCCAAATCATGATAATGAATACTAAATGTAATTTGAAGATAGGTAAATAATTCAAATAGGTAGAGTTCGCCCTAACTCTTTCTCTCCCAGGCACATTTCCCCAAGCAGCCGCTCGACTCAGTTTCACCGATCTAACATCTTCTTCTCCGTCCAATCTTCTTGCCGTCGTTTCCTCCTCTCTTCAGCTGGGTTTGGGTCGAGCCTTGCTCCGGCCTTGGCCGTGAGCCAAGCGTCGGCAAATTATTATTCTCTCCGTCGTTACTCTCACTTGTTTATGTACTTTTGATTTATGCTCGCTCTTGCCGTCACGTCACCACCAGCTCAGTCCCACCATCTCTGCATCTGTGTTTCACCGCTGCACCCTCTCTCCGACACGCCATCTCACATCTCTCCTCTATTGCCAGCTTTCCACCTTGCCTCCATTCGCTAGATTTGTCATCTTCTTCGCTATATCTCCTTGTGATCAATCTTAGACAGTTTCGAGGACAAACTGCTTACAAGCTATCAAAAGTTTCTCTAGTAACGAAGTCGGCCGGTCCTGCTTCCATGTCTGCATCTTCCAGAGCATTGTACTAATTTACTGAGACGGTCTTCCATGTTCCCCTTTGCTTACTCTCTGCTTCTTTTTCTTTGGTAAGAAATGGACTGCTTGTTGAGAGAAGGATTTTGATCTTGTGGAATCCCGATATAGTTAGTTATGTTCTGAAGGCTGTTTTCTCCGGCATTCCCACGTTTTTGGCCTTTAATGGCATCCATGTCGTCTTGCTTGAACGGCAGGAAGGTATTTTGTGTAAATCCAAAGCAGCTTTGCTTGTGGTATCCGTACCTGTCCATAAATCTTTCACAAAGTTTATTTGCCAAATTCAGGATCATTTGAGTAAATCCAAGGTGTTTTCGCATATGGTGTCTTTATCCCAAGGCTTTGAACGCTTTGAACTCGTCATTTCCATTTTAGTGGCAGATGATCTTTCTCAACCTATCTCTGAAGAATTAAGGATAATCTCGGTAAAATCCGACTCCTTCCATTTGGTTGAGCCATCATCTAAGGCTTTTGTGACTTCGAACTTCGTGGTATTCTCGAGGATTCCACTCCTCACCAGAAGATTTGTTTTCACTTCTATCAAGTTTATCATAAGTTTATTTTATGTCTTTGCTGCTTCCTTCGGGAATAACTCTTTGTATGCGGTTCACACATCTTTCGTTTCGTTTGATTAATCGAAGTAACTGGTTGCACAAAAAATAAAAAAAGAATACTAAATAAAATTTTTGTATTTAGTATATTATATTATGAAATTGGCTAATGTTTGTAATATAATAAATTCTAGTATTCATATTTTTACAAAACTATATTTAAATGCCGAGAGTCATAATATTTTGGCTACTACAAAAAAGTCAATAGTGGTTATAAAAAAAGTTATACAATATAACATGTTTTTTAACTATGTTATATAATCAAATAGTTTGTATTAACTATTAAAGTTACTGGGTTATTACTGTTATTATACGGATTTCAACTTAAACATTGGAAATATAAATAATATAAAATAAAAATCAATTTTTAATACAAATTATTCTGTTTAATTTGTTTTTTTTTTCTCTTCATAAAAAGTAGGCTTTCTGTTAAAAATAATATGAAATCAGCAACTTTTTTAATCAAGTTGAAATCTTTCTAATATTTATTAATAAAGAAAGTTTAATATTAATTTATGGAAAATAAAATATTTTAAACTCTAATTATAAGCTTATATATAATACACCCGTTTATACTTCCAACAGATTGGATGACTAAACCATATACATCGAAGTGATAACAATTAAAAATCTAAAAAATAGACAACAAAAAAAAAAGAAGAAAGAAATTATGATAATGGAGTTTTTCGTCACAAATGTAACTTTCTAGCTTTATACCTTAGACAACTATATTAATCTACCTTTTATTTTATTTTATTTTGATGCTTCGTTAGTACATAGATGGGCATGATGGCCTAATTGCATTTGACTTTCTTTGAGACTTCACGACACCTACCTTTCTTTCTTTGACTCCTATCTACATCTTCGTCATGTATGATCTATTATATCGATTTCATCTTCAGTTCATACATACATAAGATCTTTTGTATCAATTTGCATGTTCTTTGTTTTTAGACATCTAGCAAATAGAACAGAAAATCATATCATATATCAATTGAGTAATACAGGAACTACCCACGTTTTGTGGTATCACTAATTTACAGAATTAGGATCATATTTGAAAAGGGCTGGTAGTTCCTATATTACTCAATTAGGAAGATTATTTAATTTTTGACTATGGGTA